GAAAAAAAACCCAAAATCTCTCGGAGAGCTGACCATTCACGTTCGTGAGCCCAAGATTTGATAAGCGGCTCCGTCCTTCGTTTGAGTTCATGTGGTGCAGATAAAGGAGAAAAAAAAATCGAGCTTCCGCAAAACAGATAACGGTAACACAAAATGATCGAATAAATGGCATCTGTTGATTCAGTTTGTGTCTTGTGTTTCGCTCTTGTGTAAGCGGTCGACATTCGAATCTCCTCCCTCCTCCCCCGAAAAATAATTCTATAACCATTTATTTGCGAAATTTCCATAACTGGCTATATCCTCTTGGAGAAGTACGTTGAATGAAAGGAAAATTCCCCGCCTCTTCAGTTGTTTTCGCTCTGTCGTAAAGTGTGCGTTCAATGTCGTGCATAGTATGGCAAACCATCCAACTACCCTGTGGTTTTTAACTACAAGGGGCAAGGATTGTTTAGACAATAAACGAGTCAAAGTAAAGCTCGCAAACCTTGTACCAAACAGAAAAGGTAACTCATCCGAGTCATGGATTGGTTCAGTAATAATAATAATAATAATAATAATAATAATAATAGATGATAGAATTTGTACAACGCTCATTCCCGCTCAACAGCAAGCTCTGTGCGCTTTAAATCCATATTATTATCCCAGCAGACCTGAAATAATTCTGAAACAATCTCAACTTCTTGGGAAGCATAGTGCAAGCTGCCATTTTATAGGCGCTAAAACACTAACATATTGCAAGATCTTTCACTGTCTGTGAGCGGGTATCCATTCCCCGGGGTGAAGTGAGGAAAATTCGTGTCAAGTGCCTTTCCCAAGGACACATCGTCGGTCCTGAGGATCGAAGCCCCGAACCCGCAACCACATGATTACGAGTCCGGTAGCCTAATCACTAGACTACTGACCTCACATGACTTCAACATGACGTACTATGACGTGTTTGTTTAGTTATTTAGATCCTGATCAAGTTCCAAGCCGACCCTAAATCCACAAAAGAAGTCATGTACCCCATTAGGCTCCCGTATTTTACTAGCAAATGCCATACTGGTTATAATAGGAAATGCCTAAATTAACAATACAGCTCTTGTTGGGCTCTCTGAGGACGATGACAAGCAAACATCTCACGATTTATGCCAATAAATAAATCTTAGATACGACAAACTTACTTTTTGCGTGCATCTGATTATATGTGTGCTCGTATTTTTCAAATATATGTATTTCTAAAATATAATATCATTGTAGGTTACACTGTAGAGTACCGTAGTTACAACCTTTGACATTCACATAAATATCGAAGGTATTTTACAATCACAACTTGAGAGAATAGGGTGGTACGATATAGTCTTAAATTTAATACCGCTATAAATAGTCTAATGGTGTTTAAGAAGTGAGACTTCCGAATTTGACACCTCTTTCTGAAAAAGACCGAGGGGAGAGGGTTGAGAAGCTTCCAGGCTTTCCAGACTATCTTAGTCCTGGAACGCGCTGTTTGGATTCAAAATAGTGTCACCTGCGCTGTAATCCAATTTGATACATCACTTGAGCCAGCGGGGCTCCCAAATTTGAGCGGTTTATTCGCTTGAAGAAGGATGGTAGGAAAACGATTAAAGAGTACAAAAAAGGAGGGGGGGGGGCATAGGCCAGATTTTTGTCCATTTGATATTTTGTTTTCATACTTGTATTACTTGATTAGATCCATTTAGTCCGAGAATACTATTTTGTATTCAAGAGGGCCTCAGCTACGCACTAGATCTAGTGACATAATTTAAAATAATCTTACAAGGAAATAACATCAGTAGTCCATGTTATGAACACGTGACAGAAAGGCCGTTGTCCTCAGTATTCTACTTGTAACAAATGCCTTTTTCTCTTACCTTACAGGCTAAATAACTGCACCCTGCGAACCAATTGATCGTTGGCCCCAACTGCAATATCACACAGTTGTCTTTTGCCTTTTTGTGAGTGTGGGGGGTGGGGG